ATTATTGACTTTTACTAAAAAGACACTTATTGCAAGAGGAATTCCTTATGCTGCAATAAAGAAAAGCCCCCTTTCAAGGTAACTGTAAGAGAGTGTCTGAATTTTAATGGGGCAATTGTTTTTGCGCCATTGCCACAGGATACCAGGCATTTATCCCGTTCCTTGGTGCATCATCTAAAAAGAGAGCTCAGAGATGGGTGCTCTGGTGGTGAGGTGACAGGTGGATCAAGAAACCGTGATCCTGGGGCACCCGGGTGGCTCAGGTCATGATCCCAGGGTCCTGGGATTGAGCCCCGCATCGGGCTCCCTGCTCAGTGGAGAGCCTGCTTCTGCCTGCCCCTCTGTCTACTTGCGCTCTCTCTCTGTCTGTCAGATAAATAAATAAAATCTTAAAAAAAAAAAAAAGAAGAATCCCTGATCCCAGCAATTATGACAATTTCTTAGAATGGGTCAGTTTTATAGTTTCTACAGAGCTGGAAAGCTGCCATCCAAAATGGCCTGCAGACAAGGTATTCACTGGTTGGATCAAGCCTGTGATAGGATAGCTTCACCAGTTGTTTTCTAGCTGGGAGGGAACGCTGAGGTTAACTACTCTACACAGAAAAGGAAGCCTAGAGTTATTGGGGGGGGAGGGAGAGGGAGGGGAGGGGGAGATTACATTCTAATCTTAGGGTTATTGAGAGAGAGGGGGAAGGGAGAGGGGAGAGGGAGAGGAGGGGAGAGGGAGAGGAAGGGAGAGGAAGGGAGAGGGGAGAGGGAGAGGAGGGGAGAGGGGAAAAGGGAGAAGGGAGAGAGGAGAGGGGAGAGGGGAGAGGGTGGGAGAGGGGGGGAGAGGGGAGAGGAGAAGAGAAGAGGAGAGAAGGGGAGAGGAGAAGAGAAGAGAAGAGACCCAGTGCATAGGCACCTATTACTCCTCAGAACCTTATCTGTTTGGGTGAGGCTTCATTATATAGGCAGACAGACGAGATAGGGCGTGTAGACGGATTGATTGAATCATTGGCCATTGGCAACTGTTTCAACATCCAGTCCCTCTTACCTCCCTGAGGTCAGTGAGGTAGGACTGGAAGTTCAGCTCTGATGTGGTTGGTTCCCCTGGCAACCAGCCCAACCCTCCTCAGTAGTGGGGGGGGGGGGTCCAAAAGTCATCTCATTAACATAACAAGAGACACATTTATGTCTCAGCACTGGAAATTCTAAGGGTTTTAGGAGCTCTGTGCCAGAAATGGGGACTGAGATTAAGTATCTATTTCTTGCTATAAATCATAATATCACTCTACCATAACTGAGTGGTATTCTACTCTATGGTAGAATCCATGCCTGATGACATTTAGAACTCATGATGGATATCATGATCCATCTTACTTCTACATTTGAGGAAACTGAGGCTCAGGGAAGCTAAGTGACTTGCTCACCGTGGCACAGCTAGTGGGACATCAAAGCTGGGATTCTATGGCTCCGATATAAATCCCATGATTAATTTAGAGCACACCATCTGGCTACTATAACAAAAATGCCTTAGACTGAGTGGCTTATAAATGACAGAAATTTATTTCTCACAGTTCTGGAGGCTGCCAACAGGGTTGGGTTCTGGGCTGCACATGGGCGACTTCTTACTGTATCTTCACATGGTGGAGAGCAGAGAGAAGAAACAAGCTCTCTCTGACTCTTAAACTGGCACTAATCGCATTCCTGGGGGCTCCGCCCTCATGACCTCAGCCAATTCTAATTTCCTGCCAACCACCCTAAAGCTGTCACATTGGGGAGGTAGGGTTTCAACATCTGAATTTGGGGGGCACACGAACATTCAGTCCATAACACCACCTTTCACACCTTCTAAAACTCCATCTGAAGCCCTTAAAGAACATCTATTTCAGTGAATCCATTGACCAGTCAGGATCTAGCCTCTGATTCTGGCTTCATGTCCCACCTGCCACCAGCTCAGTACTCAAGAAGCAGCAGACAAGGGCAGTTACCTCTTTGTCCATTCCTGCTTATCTCCCAGAGCTCAGCGAAGGTTGCCTCTGGTGTGTAGTCCTCAGCAGTGTACCCAATGAAATATGACCTGCAGACTCTGCCTTTGATCACTCAGGTGGGATGAAGACTTCTTTTGGCTTCTCTACGATGAGTTTAGCAGAGAAACCCAACATCGTCATAGACATCCCCCAACCTTCCCCCCCCCACTGCCGATCCCTTAAAGATCTTTCTCATGTCTGTGGGACTAAGAACACATTACTGCAACCTTTTAAAAACCTAGACAGTTTGCGGGTCACTGAAAAATAACTGTACCTGAATTGCAAGCTCTGTCTACAGAATTGATGGAGAAAGAGAGGGGGAAAATGCTGTGTGAACAGGGAAGAACTCTAAGTGTGGGTTAAAGAGTAGGATAGGGGAGGAAAAGCAAGGGGGACACACTTGAGGTTCACAAGAGCTTCCATCTGGGGTGGGCACAGTGATCTTCTGTTTAACATTATAATTGCTAAATCATATTAAATGACACAACAATCAGATTAATAAAGCTTACAATATTTAGGGCATTCAGTTTGCTGAAATCACTGGCATCTGTGCCTATTTAAAATGACAGATGATTAGGATATCCAAAGTTTGGTGGAATCTGCTAGCTAACAAGGTAGAATTAAAATTTACATCTTGCTCCGGCATAATGAAGATAATTAAAAAGAGTGATAAAACCCTTTGATTAACCCTCATCTCTTCTTGTATAGCATTTTATTATGCAAATGAAACCTGCAACACTGTAAACTTAATACCAGTTGAGAATATGAATATGTTCTCACGTTCGAAGCACAAAGATATATGCTGTATGTACAAACTATTTGACTGAGGTTGGAGATGGGGCCTGTTTTGCCATAAAGTGGAACTCAAGAGTGTGTGCCATGGAACAAAATTACGTCTCCATTTGCTCCAGACTCACCATTTTCTCAGTATTTCTGTTTTGTTATATGATTTCCTGCCCTGCCCTGCTAGGTCAATGAGCCTGAGCAGACCCCCCCAAACAAGACTGCCTATGTCACCCCTCGGAAGGATTGTTTATGGTCCTGCTTTTGCTTTCCTGAATAAAAGGGCACATCACAGTGACTTCAGAAAGCAAGAAGTTCCTTGTCTGTCCATTGCCCCTGAGTTCTGAAGAGAGATTAGGAAACCCTAGGGTAGAGATTTTTTTTTTTTCCTAAAAGGCTCTCCAATTTCAACATGTAATTTCTCTCCTCCCTGAGAATTCTTTCTTTCCCTCTGGTGGTGTTAAAGGGAATACTGGGGATAGCAGGATCCCCACAAGGGGTGCTGAGCTGGTTTAATGAATTTCCCCTTGGCCACTTGAGTTAATCAGTAGGCAAATAAGAGTTGGTTTTTTTTTTTCCCCTCTTTTGCCAGATTTCTCTGCTTCCCTTTGCACTCCCCAGTCATTGTTCCCCATCTCCACTCTGGAAAGTGAAAGAGCCTTTAGTTATGCTATGAGTAGCAACCAATTAGCAAGAGAAATCTGAGTTTGCATCTTTGAAGAGCCACCCTTCAAAGACTGTGAAGATCCAAACACAGCCGTAGAGAAGATGTGGATCACGAGAGTGAACACATGGAGTGGGGCTTGCTGGCTCCGGGACTTGGTAGGGAAGGAAGTTGAGAAGCTGAAGGGAGACATGCGAGAACGGAGATGGGTGGAGAGAAGTTTTGGAGGAGGACACAGAGGAGAAGGCTACACGAAAATGTAGCAGAGAGAAAGAGAGAGAGAGAGAGATGTGGCCAGGAGCCAGGGGATGGGGACAGCTGCCAGAAGCCGGAAGAGGCAAGGGATGGATTCTCCCCTTGAGTCTTAGAGGAGTGTGACTTCTGGCTTCCAGAACTCCAGAGAACACATTTCCTTCATTCGAAGCCACCCAGTTTGTGGGACTTTGCTATGGCAGCCACAGGAAACTGGCACAGCTTTTGGTTATTGGCAAATGGGAAGTCGAGAAAAAGGTGGCGGGGTCCCTGCATCATCATCCAGATGTCAGGTGCATCCCCATGCAGCTACTTGGTCCTTTCTGATGATGGTTGGTGTTGTCCAGGTGTGGCTCCTTGAAAATGGGAACAGTAACAGTGCCAACCAACCTGATAAGGTTATGGAGAGGATTAAACTAGTTCATACATATGAAGGTACTAGACAGCATCTAGCATTAAATCTGTACTATTTAAGTATTAGCTTCAATTTCTGCTATTGTTGCTGTTATTTATCATTGTTATAGTGATTATTTGCCAGAATTTACATGCCTTCTGGATTACTGCAGAGTCTATTTAAACAACGTCATTTGTATGTGTTTTTATAGAAAATAAAAACTAGAAGTCCAATCCCCAAAATATTATAAAGAGTTATTTCTGGGTGGTGGGTTTGCCCCAGAATTTTATTTGCTTCTGTTTGCCTCTATTTTTCTTAATTTTCAGCAACCAACACATATTACTTTTGTCAGAAGTTCAGAAATAACAAGTAAAACCAATGAATCACCAAAGTAGTAATTAGTGTAGGTTTATTGTGCACACACCAAAAAGACAGTTTGCAACCGGGAGCACTCAAACCAAAATGTGGAATGAGACTCAGGGGTCCACTGTTACAAAGCCGCTTCTTTAGTGAGAAGACAGTGACTGTTTATTCTTCACAGGGATTGGTTATAATATTAGACTTTTCTTAAATGGCAGGGAATCGGTCAGTGGTTACCTCATAACAACCTTGGGAAACAGTTGAAGTTTTGCTTATGATTTCCAGAGGCATGAGCAAGAAATGACCCAGGTCAAGTTAGCCTTCCAAAATAAGCTAAGTTAAGCTTTGTTTGTATGACTACACTGGTTCTGTCTGCTCAGGGAATTCTCAAGGCTGGTCTCCATTTGTTTTGGATTTTAACATTTTGGTAATATGAACATTAAAGATTTGTTTTTCTTTTTGGTTTTTAAGACAGCTTCATTGTAACTCTTCACAAAAGTGAAGAAGCCCAAATCAAAGCATTTTCAAGGTCCGAGTTGAGTGAGAACACTGTATAATAGTTTTGATGAAACTGTAAGATTTCTAAGAATTTTCAACTAGTAACCGGGGAAAGAGATGTGGGTGGGTGGGTGCAGAATACAAATATGGAAACCAGTTTTAAAGGTTTATGAGTGGACCGGGGTAAGATTCTGAGATCCCCAAGTATCTCTCCAGTTAGTGCCTGATATTTCACCATCGTGGTTTGGTTGGGTTCTCTGGCTCAGCACCCACTTCTCCAGGGAGATTCTTTCTGGAAAGAGAAAGACATGTGGTCACTGTAGACCAGGATTTGTCAACCCAGACACAGTTGACCTTTTGGGACTGGGTAATTCTTTGTGGAGGGGGGCTGCCCTTTGCCTTGTAGAGTGTTGAGCAGCCTGCCTGGTCTCCGCCCACTAGATGCAGGTAGCAACTCCCCTCACAGGTGTGACAACCCAAATGTCTCCAGACATTGCCAAATATCCCCTGGCGGGAAGGGGGGCAAAATCCCTTCAGATTCTGCCTCAGGGAACCCTTGGCTCAGGCTGAGGTGCTGCAGACCTTTTTCTTGAAATGAAATGAAATACGGTGAGATGCGGATTTGGAACACACTTGCTCTTCAAGTTCCGACCCTCAGGAGCTATGTGACCTGTCCATGGTGCTGACCTCTGCCAGGGCTCAGCTTCTTCTCTACAAAATGGGGTTGATAACATCAACTTTACAGCTTGTTTATGTGAATAAGAGATAATTGATAGGGCATGTTGCACCATGCCTGGCACACAGCAGGGCTTAATAAATACCCGGTGCCTTCCCTGCAGGTTGGCTGGTGCGTCTCAAAAATCAGAGGGACTCCTTAATCATACGATATAATTGAGCCCCCCACAAAAAACTCACCAACCAAATTAATGCACATGCTTCTTTCATCAAACCCAATTTTCCAAGCCTACTTTGTCCCCACCCCCCCAAAATCCCCAGTAAAAATAAAATAAAATATAGAAACTAAGTCAATCCAAAATTATGATTTATGTTCTTTTTGTAGTTAAGGAAGGTCTAAACAGAAAGCCCTTATCACTGAGCCCCAGCTGCTGAAGGAACCCTTTAATCATGACCGACCTCCTGGAAGAATAATAGAGATTCGGGGCCAGACGTGGGTACTGAACAAGGAGGGAATATTGCCAATGGCTACCCTACCCCTTCTTGTTGGCTGTGCATGGCTTTAATCTGCTTCCACTGTCTTTTTGAAGTCTGGAGATATTTGAGTACAGCCTAATTAGGTAGTTGTGGGCTGAGAGAGAATTTATTTTTATTTTTGTCGAACACACAGCGTGGAGGGAAACGTGCCAATGATGGTTATGGAGCAAGCTGGCCTCTTTGGGACCCGTGGCTCTCAGGCCACCCTGGGTTTCCCTTGTAGTGACACCCTGTCAGAGTCCTGGATGGATGGTCGAAATGTCTGAGTGAATCTCTACAGCTGGGTCCCCTTTCTCTGTGTGGCAGTACAGAGCTTAGGGCTGAAATCACAGTGAACGGGATTTACATCTTGGCTCTGTAGGTTATGAGCTGGGCAACCGTAAGCACATGACAACCTCTCTGAGCTTCAGCTCTCCCAGCTGTACAGTGGGGATATTAAGCTTAGCCAAATTAATTAAGTCCACATTTGGTAAACACTTGCTATGTACAAGGCACCGTTCTAGGTGCTGGGGGTGAAAAAAACAAAAAACAAAAAACAACAACCAACAAAAAACCCAGAAACAGTATCACTGATGTGCAGATAATGTTCCACAAATGGGTGACACACACACACACACACAGGCCTTATTGGCAATATCTGCCAATTTCTGTAGTGTAAATGCCGCCATTATGTTGACTCTCGTGAGTGGTGCAAGCTGCCCTACATGTCATTGTTTTTAAAATACTGGAGAGAATCTTATGTACATCCCACCTTCCCCTCTCTCCTCTTTCTTATGATGGAAAGGGTTTTGGGGTCACAAAGAGTCAAATTCAAATCTCAGCTCTATAGCTTATTATGTGAGCCCATTTCCTAACCTGTAAAACAAAAAGAGATAATAAGGACTAGAATTGTTTTGAGTACGTATTCCATATTTTGTTATGCATACGTTTATATGTATATTTGTATCTATGTATTTCTCTCTATTTTTAAGCAAAATCTTTGTTTTCTTCCCTTCCCTCTCTGATTCCCTTATCAGATAATAAGACATCCTAATTTTATATCATGGCATTTGAATATTGTTAACTTTTTATTAGAGCTCTAAAATTACAGCTCATCAAGGAGGAGAGCGAACACCACCTAAGGACTTTGCCCCCTCTTCTGGAGAAAGAGTTAGTGCTCTTTCAGTTGTGGACAGGATCGTTGTTCTGTGCACAGAAGAAATATAACTTTGATAGTGTCTTTATTTGGAGGTTAAGTGTGGTTTAAGGAGATGCATATGAGCCAATTTAAAACAAAAAACAAAAAAAACCTCTTTCCCTTCCCCCAGCTTCCTTCTCTCTTCCAATCTCCCTCTCTCTCCATATCTCTTCTTGACTCTCTGAAGAACCGGTATTTTAGATTTCAGTATTTCTTGACCCTATGCGACAGGGTCAATGACCAGACTGAGAAGGAAGACATATGTAGGCACCTGGGGTAGGAAGGGCTGTGAGGTGGACGCACTGGGGGTTCTCTCATGATTTGTAAGAGTCTGTGTGAGGATGCATCCTGTATCTGCCTGGCACTTTGACTCCCACCCGAGAAGCCCTAAGGTATCTGGTCTCTAATGGTCCACTCGGTTTGACATTGTGCTTCACTGGAGGGAGTGGAGAAAGGCTGGACCAGGCAGAGAGTGGGAGTGTTGTGTCCATCCATTTCTCCCCCTGCTGGTGTCACCAAACCCTGATCTCAGTGGACACGGCAGTGGCAGGTGTATTCACAGAACATGGGGTACCCAAAGCAGCAAGGGGTCGGGAAGGAGCAGGAAGGGCAGAGGAGGCAGAGGAGAGGTGTTGGACGGGGACACGGAATGGAGGGAGGGAAGAGTGAGACGGGAGGTGGGACCAGGGTGGGCAGGGAAGGAAGGGCATCCTCCAGTTCCTCCCACCTGTTATTCTATCTACCCAATCATGAACTCCAACACCTTCCGACAGAGCGGCTTTCGAGCTCCTGAAGATGCGTGTTGGTCCCTGCGCCCCCTCGCCTTCAGGGAGTGACTGCCCCCCGCCCTGCCCCCGGCCTCCTCTGTGCAGCCCTGCAGCTCACAGATTGGTGGCGACGCTGCTAAGGCACCTCTCCAAAAGTGAATCGAGAAACAGTTGCTGAAAGAGGGCAGAAGCAGGTGCTAACAAGCCAGCGATTCCTCACGCTCCATGCATGTTCACAAAGTAACTCAGAAGAATCCGCCCCAAGCTTACCTCTCCAGCTACTTTCGCTACTCTTCAATTTCCATCCCACATTGCAGTTGTGCCAAATCACAGGCAAGTCCCCGGACTTTTCGACTCACTCGAAAAGCAACCCCTTCAACATTTCCCTTCACCGCACTGATTGCTCTTTATCCTGCAAAATTCCATTTCACGTTCCCCTCCTGAAGTCTGATTGAAGAGACCACCCTGTAAGTTCCCACGTGCTCACCCTTCTCAGAGCGCTCAGCATACTTTATTTTGTTTCCTTGTGTACAAACTTGTCTCCCACGCTAGACTCTGTGATCCATTTGGGGTAAAGCCCAGCCTGATTTCAGCTAGCACCACCAGAATCTAACAGAGCACCAGGAACTCAGTACCTCTTGTCCAGAAAGGTCAACAGAACATGTTTAACACCCTCCTCCTGGGTCCTGCTTCCACCATGGCGATCACAGCCACAGGCATCATCTCGTGCAGGGGACCCTACTCCTCTCAGGGAGTAGATGGCCATTTAGTGAGTACCTCCTGGTTCCAAGAACTTTCCCGGTGTGACTGTATGCAATCCCCCCACAACCTGCAATTTTAGTGCTTGTGTCTATACTCTTCATTTACAGATAAGGAGGCTGAGGCTCCGGAGGTTTCCGTGATTTGCCAGGAAGAGCTAAGACCCCAGGCCCCATTGACGGCAATCCAGACCCCCATGCTTTTGAGACAGAGACTCGAAAGCAGGCTTGTGTCCGCTCCCCTCCCTTCCCTTTTCCATCCTCCCCTTTCTGCATCTGACACTAAACTCAATGATCAGACCATCAGTGGAGCCCATCCATCTGGCAGATGACAGGCAGTGCCCGGAGCCCTGGCTTTCCCTATTCTGCTTCTGTATCATTCAGCAACTTCTGCTTTCCTCTGAGGTCACCCTTAAAGGTCCATGTGTCATGTTTCTCATTTCTGCCTTGTCGAGGAAATCTTGCCAGTGCATCTATCAAAGTAATCATCACAAGCCTGATGTAAGACTATGGCTCCTCTCACATTTTTCATTACTAGATAATTTATTAATATCCTTCCTGAGCAGTACTAGATTTATCTTGATAAAACTGCTATCAGCAGCGACACAGGCAATGCCACTGGGGTGCGGCAGGAAGAACGGTGTGCTCACCTCCTTCACCCCTTCATGCCTCCGGAAGCCCAACCCAGAGCCGGCCCAGGGGGCCGCCGGGACCCAAAACATTTTATCATTTTGATAAAGTTGACCTGGGGCAGCCTCGAAGGCATTGCTACCTCTCTTCCCTTTCTTCTCTGCTTGTGGCAAACGCAGAATTGCCTGTGTACGGGGAAGGCAGGCAGCGAGGGGCGGGTAAATTACCTTCCAAGAGTTCACTATTTATTTCGTTTTCACTGAGCATCTGTAGTGAACAGCTTCACCCCTCGGCTCAAGTGGGCTTTCTGGGAGGCTGGTGATGGACTTCTGGATTATTTCTCGGTAACGTCAGGGCACGGACTCCTTAGGTACGTGAGCCAAAGCGGCCCCATTGTCTGCTCCTTCTTCTGTCCTCCGCTCTCCAGGAAGGGAAGAGAGCTAACCACCCCCCCACCCCCCATGGATTATTCACAAAAGTGAAAATGCAGGAGGCCTCCACACAAGGCGGCTGCCTTCAGAGGCTTCTGGTGGACGTGGTTGCAGGGGTACGTTTGGATGGGAACCGCATCTCTGCAGCCCCTGAATAGCTGCAGTTCACAGTTGCTCTTTCAGACACTGGGTTTCACGGTTCATCTCCCCCAACATCATCCACCCCAAGAGGTAAATAAAATAAATGAAATAAAGAAAAGCACACACATATATTCAAAGGGGAAACTGAGGTCTGTGAGTGCATCATCTGGCTGCTC